GATAGATAGATAGATAGATAGATAGATAGATAGATAGATAGATAGATAGATAGATTGATAGATTGATAGATAGGATAAAGGTAAATATAATTAAAATTTAAGATAAAATAACAAGTACCCTGAATTAGTAACAATAGCGCCCCCAAAAAAGAAACACAGATACGTGACCTTACCCTTCCGTTTCCAAACACACGCAAGAAAGAAACTAAGATACAGGGAAAAGCCAAATGTGAGGCAGCGTGGTGGAATAGACTCTCGTCAATTTTTGGGCATAATGAGTTATTGGTATCATCTTAAAGCTTGTTCATGTGTCTTGCTTTCAATGAAAAAATTACCCATCCATCTTCAATAGAATGGGAGATATTTTGGATTGAAGGAGGTGGGGGTCACCTGGTTTAGGGGGTAAAATTAGCGAGAAAATGTCCGCCAAAGCTTGGTAAATTCCAAAGCTGGAGAGTCCATGGAAACAGAAAATTTATATTTTTTTGCCTTTAATCAACGTTTTTGGTGAAATCCTCAAAGGGATGTGTTTGTAAATGAACATAAAAGGTGTTGAGACAAAATACAAACATTTGATAAAAATTGCTAAGCAGGGAGAAAACTGCTGTTTTCTTCTATTTCATAATTTTGACGAGAGTCTGATTCCACCACGCTGCTTCACAAATAATAGAAAGGAAGACTGGGCTGTGATTCTTCGTGGTTTACTAATGAAATAGGCGAGAAAGAAAAACTACCAACTATTCAAATAAAAGTCGATGAAACGAGAAAAAGCTTTAACGGGAATTTGTTGTAGCCAAGTGCAGAAAGAGCCAGACAAAAGAAGGAGATTTAGAGAACATCTGTTACAATTAAAGAGCCGTTTGGGTGGGCACTGGCAGACAGTTTGCTCAAGGCAGAAGGAAAATGTGTGAAGGGTGAGAAAGGGTTGGGAGTTTTGTTTTGGGGGGAGGTGGCTTTTTTGTAGTTGTTGTTTGTTTTGGGGTTGTTGTTTTTGTGTTGTTGTTTGGGTTTTTTTGGGGGGGGGTTAGG